CTCGCAGCCCTCTCAAGAGCCCCTAGCACAGCACTAGTGTTTTCAGCATGGTTTAGCTTTTTGTTGGTGCCATTGCTGAGATGAAAGGGCTGCAGGAGGCTTCAGAGATGGCAGAGGCTGTGCTTTGCTAACAGGGTAGTACAACAAGGGACTACCTCATCCCAGAGACCTTCGCAGGTCAGTTGGCTTCATGTCAAGATCCACATAGGTGGACCAAAGCTGGGAGTGTACTTCAGCATCCCAAGCAAGGGGTACTTTGAAGCCACAGTCTCTGCTTGGTATGTTGGGCTGCAGTTTGCTTCAGATTTCCTTTGTTTGCCTTTCTCATCTGTAGGTAGAAAAGGGCTGGTGCAGGTGGTGGATCTATTTGCACCTTCCACCTGCACCAGTATGTGGGTAAGGATGTGACTGGGAATGAACTTAAAGTCTCCTCTGAGGAGAGGACTTGCCCACTGTGCCAGGAGTACCACGTAAAAGCAGCCAATGCAAAATAAAACACATCCATCTTGTAACTTCGCTGGCCTTGAGGAGAAGAAATTTTTCAGTCTGTTTCTAAGACGTTGCTGCTTTGTACCATGTGAAGTCAATTCAAGGCAGGCTCCTTTCCAGCTAAATCTGACACCAGGAAATGTTCTTTTTCTCCCCATTTGCTTCCCGCCGTCCTGGCCCCAGTACAGGACAGCTCTGTGCGCAGCTCTGTGCAGTGCAGCCCTGCCGATGCTCCCCAGCCCGTGCCTCCTGCAGCAGCCTGGCTGCCGGCTGGCTCCCGCTCGCCTTTCCTCCCTGTCCTCAAGCTGCAGCTGCTTAAAAGCTCCTTTATTCACCCTCCGTGCTCAAGGCACTCATGCTGTCAGCCATCCTGGCTTCCTTGTTTCCACCCCAGTGCTGGTGATATCTCTGAGCCACTGGGGCAGATTCTTCCCTGAGACAAGCCCGCAGACCTGGGATGGGAGCAAGATGGAAAGGCTCATGAATGAAGACGGGATTTCCAGACAGTGATTGGTGTTAATTTATTCTTGCTAAAAAAAAACCTGCCTGCACTCTTCTCGAGTCGTGCAAGGCTGCACAGGCAGCAGAGGTTGTTGTTGCTGAGGCTTTGGTGGTGGTGAGGTGTCGGAATCTGTGGGTATTGGTGATTCCGAGATTGCAGAAAGTCTCTGTCTTTCTGCCCCACTGCCAAAGCAGAAGCCATAATTCGTCTGTGCTGGTTTCAAGGTTGTTTATTCTGTTTATCTCTAACATGTTCTGCTGCCCTGCCGCAGCTCTGTCCTGCAGGGCAGCGTGTGGGGCTCTGCCCTCAGTGGGATGTTACAAACATTAAATACCAGAAACTACCTGTGCTGTATTTACAATAATGTGCCAATATCTGTCACCTACGTTGGACAGTGTGTCCCCAGCCTAAACCAAAAGAAAAATGCCAACACCACAGTGAAACATGGAGGGCATGAAGAAGGAGGAAAAGGACAAGACACACCCAATTTCCTCCATCTTGTCCCCTCTGAACCCCTAATCTAGAAACCTAAAATTTTACTTTTGCACTCATGTCACACTTAATTATTTCTCTTATCAAACACTCAAAGCTTGTAATTCATCCTGTAAGATTGAAAACTCCTCTCCATGGACAGAGATCACAGACAGTGTCTCTGGGGGCTCTGTCCAGGGGGGTTCCTGACCCCTGCCAGGGTCCCAGACCTGCCAGGGCAGCCAGAGGGAAGCTCTGGGTTCCCACAGTGAGGCTTGGCCAGAGCCAAGCTAATGTGTTTGCCTTTGGCGGAGGTGCCACCCCAGGTGGGCTGCACGTCCAGGTGTGTGACACACCGATGTGCTGAGCATCTGCAGGCTCTGCTGCACTTCCCATGGCAGGGGCTAAGGAGCTGCTGCTGGCAGGAGCTGCCAGCCATGGCCCTGCTCCTCTCCAACAGCCACCAGCGTGCCACTGTGGCACCCACATTGTCGCTGTGGTCACCGCAGGCACGGGCGAGCGCTGACACGTGCGTTGTCTCGCTTTGTGCTGCTCTGCTCTGAGTGCAGCAGGGGAAAATGGTTTTTTTTAATTTCATCTCACATTTGAAATGTACATTCTGATATTAAATTTTTGCTATGGGGAATTATTTTTAATTATAGTGAGCTGGAAGATGATAAAATAAAGTTGAGTAAGTGAGACCTATGTGAAGAAGTCATGGAAACCTGATCATAGAAGTGAAAGACACTCCTAGGACACTGGGTATTGTTCCCATGAAACAGCATATCCTAATGTAAAGAAAATTGTAATTAAAGCTGTTAATCATCTGCTTTTAATGAGGGGGAAAAAGCTGAATATCTCAGAGACAAGATCTTGAATTTTGTACAGTTTGCCCAGGGATGTGGCAGAAACACCACACCTAGAGATGGTCAAGTTTTAATGGTGCAAAATTGTCCTGGTTTGAGGGCATCACTACTGAGTAGATAGGCAACCTGTGTTGTTTTCATCCTTTGCTTTTCTGACCAGGGAAGCCACTGACCAGCAGTACTCACTTGGCTGAGATGGGGCAGGAGGGAGGGTGGGGTAAAACAGCTTAGTGACACAGTCCTCAGGCTGCTGGCTGTACTGGTGTGAACTGGGGGGTGGGAGTGATCTCTGGGATCTAACTGATTATACTTCTCACCTATTTAGTCTTTTTCTATTTTTTTCTAATTTCTATTACTACTATTGACTGTTACTACAAGTCCTGATTTATTTAATTTATTGAAAGACAAGATGTCTGATGCTCTTCTGCCATGTCCCATCTCCTGAAGGGGATGTATCTGGAGTGGGAAGGAGGAAGCCTGTGGGCTGGCTTTTCCCCCATCATAATGCTCATGCTTCCTCTGGACTATTGGGTTTGTCCCCCTTTGAAGCGCATGATCAATATCCCAAAAGTCAAAATTCAGTTAAGTTCCTGAACTCTCTTAGAATAACTAACTCTAGTGCCAAATCTGGGGCTCAGTGAATTATTCTTAAATTATTGCTTCCTATTAAGCTGCTTTTAATCATATAGTGAAATGAGATGCAAACAGCAATGGTACCAGTGACTTTGCTGAGGCAGAGTACCCATTCCACACCTTTCCACGGTAGCTGATTAATTAAAATATTCACATGAAATTGTACCTAGATTATTTTTTAAGGAAACAGCCAGAGGTGATGCCGAGACTCCCCGACTGGACGCAAACCAGACGCTGGAGTGTGTGGGGGTTGTTGTGTGGTTTAGATCTGATGAAAGGCAGGAAATGGGAAAATCTGGCAAATCTCCCCGGCTTGACTTAACGGAGCCTCTTGACTTTTGCTAGAGTGCGTTTTTTGTGCTGTAATGGCCAAATGGAAATTTAAACTTGAAGCTGGATCCGAGCACTGCTATGCTTAGCTGGCTTGTACACATCAGTGAAAGAGAAGGAAAGGTGTTTAAAAATTCCAACCTCCAGGTTTAACTATTGCTTCCCTCTAAATTTCTTTGCTTTACTGCAGAGCACATAAACCTGCAATAGCAACTGTACATTTTCCCTTGATTTTGTGTGGTACTTTCTTAGTTCTGAGATGTCTCTCTTCTGCTACCCAAGTGAAACCTTATCTCATTCCTCAGAAATCAGTGGTGCTTCATTAGTGCAAATTAATTCAGAATCCTGTGTGGTTGCTCTAAAATAGATACCATTGACCCAGCCTGTGGAAAAGCATTGAGTTTTCAGAAATAGAAGCCAATTTATCAGCATTCCCTTTAACCTCTTTTTCTTTGTCAGGAGATGTTTTCAGCCAGGTTTGTCCTTCACTGTTACTGTGGTGAAGGGGTGTGATGATTAGAGGGATGAAACACCTGTCCTGTGAGGAAAGGCTGAGACAGTTGGGATTGTTCAGCCTGGAGAAGAGAAGGCTCTTTGGTGACCTTAGCAGCCTTTCAGTACCTGGAGGAGCCTGCAGGATTGCTGGAGAAGGACTTTTTACAAGAGCACATAGTGTTTAGGACAAGGGGGAATGGATTTAAACTGAGACAGAATAAGTTTAGATTGGATATTAGGAAGGCATTCTTTACTGTGAGAGGGGTGAGGCCCTGGCACAGATTGCCTGGAGAACTTGCAGGTGTCCCATCCCTTGAAGTGTTCAAGGCCAGGCTGGATGGAGCTCTAAGCAACCCGGTCTAGTGGAAATTGTCCCTGCCCATGGCAGGGGCTGTTGGAACTGAATGACCCTTAAGGTTTCTTTCAACCCAAAACATTCTATGAACCTGTACTGTCCTGGCAGCCCTGCAGAAAAAAAGTTCAGGTTCAAGCCTGTGAAGAAAATCTGTCACAGGCCACAAGCTGGAGGAACAGCCCCTTTAAAGAAGCGTTAAGAACAACAGATACTTGCAGTGAATTAAGCTAATGGCTGTTGGATTGCAGCCTCTGTGGGCTGTTCTTTCAGTTCTGTGCTTTCCTCCCAGTGCTGCTGAGCTGCGGCATGTGCCACTGAGCCAGGTGGTTAAGATTGCAGTGTGAGTGTGGGTTTTGTAGCCTCCCTTAATTTAATTTAGCTTTATATGTTCAGATTATAATCAATTTTTATGCTACTTTAATAAGCAAATTTATTCTGTTAGCATGCTAAAGAGATTTGTCATTCACAGCTTCCCAGTCAATCCACCATTTCCCATTTTAGCAAAGTGCTCAGTGGTCCTAAATTTGGTAATGGCTCTGCAGTTCTGGCTGGTAAGTCAACCCTCACCAGGCATGGCCTGTGCTGGCCCCTGGAAATACTCTTCATGATGCAGTAAAGGGACAAGCAATTGCATATCCCCAAACTTTGGGCAGTCGGACTCAGATGGATTGCCAAGTGTTACAGCAAATACGGACTTTCATTTCCCCCTCATAAGAGAGCCAAATCCTGTGTTAGAAAATGCCTGAGCATAAGAAAGTGTTGAGTTTAGTCTCTGCAGGCCAACGACTGGCAGGAATCACTTTCTCATTTAAAGCACTGCTCACTGTGGCATCTCTTTTTCTCTCTCCTCACCTTACAGGAAGATTTGCCTTCACTGTAAGTGCTCCCAGGAAGAGCACATTGTAACAGTTATGCCTCTGGAGATGGAGAAGACAGTCACGAAGCTCATGTTTGACTTCCAGAGGAATTCAACTTCTGACGACGACTCAGGCTGTGCTTTGGAGGAGTATGCCTGGGTCCCCCCTGGCCTGAAGCCTGAGCAGGTAATGATAACACCACCCAGCTACCAGAAAATAGTTGGTTTTGCACGTTCTTTGGAAATAGTTTACCAGATTTTTCTTCTAGGGGTGCGAGCACTTGTTGCGTGTGGCTGGGTCTGGGTGCACTAGAGAGACTTTGCAGGGTCTGAATGCTCAAATGGAACAAAACAGACACGTGATCCTTGCAGGACCTGTGGTTTTCTGCGTCTGTGGATGTATTTGGTAATTGAGAGGGGGGAAACAAAATACCTCCAGGATGGGATTTCTTGTGGTTGTGCAAGGGAAAAGACATATCTAATGTTTCACTGGGAAAGAAGCGATGGGACTCAAGTGTTCCCCAGGGGCTCAGTAGTTGTGTTCTGCCCTCCTGGACTGCTCTTCTCTGTGTTAAGTCCAGGGCAGACAGTCAAAGCTGGTAGAAAACTCTGAAACATGGGCCAAAAGCTTTGTGGTTTGGGTTTTCCAAGCATGATGTTTATGCCTTGCTGGAAGGAATAGCTTAAATAAAGCTCAAGTTTCTTGGTGCAGGATTGAGTGGGATGGATTAGACCTCAGTGTGCTCTGTGGAGCGTGCATTGATTCTGCTCCCTCCAGTTTACATGATTCCTTGATTTTTACACTGGTCCTTTATATGTTCAGGTCAGAAATTCATTTGCGGTGGAGATAGCAAAATGGACTTAGCCGTGATAATTGCAGTATGATATGATATGGCAATAGTTTTAAACTGTGTAATGAAGCTGGAAGGGGGTGGAAAGCTTTCATTCTTACTGCCATAGTTTCTGTCCTTAAGTACTGTGTTTTTCTGTGCTTTTATTCAGACAGGCTTAGGAATTTCCTGAAATATTTTGGCACCACCCGTAGGCTGTAAATATTATCTGTCTGATTAGAGAAAATCCAGTTGTTTGGTGGCTTGTTTCTTTTTTTTTTCCTTGTCTTTATAAGCCTTGCTCAGTGCTCACTTGAAACTCCATAGCACCATGTGTTTCATTTGGTGCCATCCAACCGTGCAAATCAGGCAGCAGCCTTGTTTTCTGTTGCCTTCCTTATGTCAGAGGCTCTCTTTCTGCCTCACAGGAGGTACAAGATGTGGTGTGTGGAGAAATGCAGATGGTTCTGAAGTGGCTCTGCTGGTCCTTCATGCTGTGGCAACATGAACTGCTTGGTTTTGGGGGGTCCCCTTGGAGGACCATACCCAAGCTGGTGCCACCTGTTCTCATTGCTGGTTTCTGGCCAGGCATGTCAGCAGCTTCTGGAGCTCAAGCTGGCCCATGTTCCTGTAGTTTTGGGTGGAAATACAGGTATTTAGTGACAGGTGGGACTTGACCAGGTAGACATGGTCTCTAATGAGTACATCATGGCATGGGCAGTGATTGAAACACACTTTCAGCATGGTGGTGACATATTCCAGGAGACCTGTGTGCTTCTTTGATCCCTTAGGTGCTCTTTAAGTGTGGCATCAGGGGGTTGGGGATGCTCAGGAGGAAATAGTCCATTTGCTGTACCAGTAGCTACTGACATCTCATGCATTACTAAGGTTAATGTGATCTTAGGTTCTTCCAGCATCTATTTCTTGCAGAGGTCATGGTGCTCTTCAGTCCAAACATTCCTTTTCTCAGTACACTCCTCAGTCTGCATTGCTGGGCCTTTCAGCAAGTTTGCCACTTCAGACTTGTCTCTAATCACCATGGAGATAAAGAACAGCCATAAGCAGAGCCAGAGACAGTCCCTGAAATCCATGCAGCAGAGCTCATCTGCCAGCCCTGTCATGACTTTTCACGTTAGATGAGCCACTAAGATGACAAAAACGAGGAGTGACTTCCCTGGGCCGTGCATGAGCCACACTGCAGGCCTGGCATGTGTCCCTGGGTGAAGAGCAGCACCCTGAATTTCATGTAATCAGAGTGGTGGTCCCCTGGCTGGGGATGCCCCATAGTGCAGGAGGGGCCATTTGCCTCCCATGCTGCAGAGGAAATGCCTCTGCAGCAGCTCACTGGGGACGTGCCAGTCTGCAGGCAGATGTGTGGCTTTTTGGTCAGTGAGTCAGGTGTGTGCACATGATGTGGAGCCTCTGCAAGGCTGGTGCCTGCCATGGAGCAGCTGGTGGGCTCTGCCCTGGCTGAGGGTTTTGCTGTCAGGCTGGGCTGAAAATACAGATTAACAGGCAGGGAATTTTTCTCTGCCTCCTGCTGTTCCGCTGTTGTGTTGTTTTGGATGTGAAACAGATTAAATGAAACAACTTTTTCCGCAGTATTCTACTTTATTAAAATTTCAGTGCAGTATATGAACTGGGGAGGTAAGTGTTCCCCTGAAAGACTAATGCAATTTTCTTATTTTACTTGGACGACAGCCTCCCTACTTCACTATTCTTGGGAGACAGCGCTCATGTCTCACTCAACACAGCAATTTACAGGATTTCAGTGGGGAGGAGTTGGCCTGCAAACATGACATTGTTTTTTGGCAGTGTCCAAAGGTCATTTCAGTATTTGAAGAGTCCCTTCAATCCAAAGCTTAAATTACTGTCATCTAGATAGGAATCGACTCAAACCTATAAGGTCTCAGTGTACTCCTGGATGCTAACTCAGGCCTCAGCTGGTCTGTGGTACATGTCACTAGGGAAAATCATGTTGGTTACTCAATGCCCACTACTGAAGACAAAAAAAGGATTGGTCCAGTGTTCACAGAAACTGATCCAAACATTGTAATGAGGAGTGGAGCTGGAAGTTATCCCTTATATTATGGCTCATCAGTGTGTAAGACTAAAAGCTCTTACAGTGTGTAAGGCTAAAAAGGGCTTTATTTAAAAGCCATAGATGCAATATATTTCTAAATACACAGGGATTAGGATAGTCATTTAAAAATTGATAGCACCCCTGCATAAGGTACAATAAAAAATTTTCTGGTAAACCAACTACAATGTATGACATGTTTGCTCAAGAAAGAGGGGTATAAACTGGAAGGGCACTGGAATTGTTATTTCATTGAGGAGCCTCCAAGAACTTAGTTTGTCCAGCCTAGCAAATTGTTTATTAGAATTGTTCTTCCTCCTGTTCATTAGAGGGGGAAGAGCAGTTATCCAAGCTCCAACTTTAGCCAAGAACATAGACATAAACTGTCTCCAAATGCATTCAGGCAGGAAATTGGAAGAGGTTTGAGACCATCAGAGGTGTAAGGCTCAGAGACAACCTGCCAGCCAGGACAGTGACAGGTAAAAACCCAGGACTGAGCTCCATAAATCACAATGTGATAAGGAAGCAGAGTTTCTTATAGTAGCAATCAGCTATGCAGGATGGCCAGAAGGTTTCTGTGGGGTCTAATCCCACTTGGATTGGATTCAGTAAGAAGTTGTTTTATGGCAGAAGAAAGACTTCTCTTCTGGAAGATAGGGATGCAGATGGGAATGGCAGAGATAGGTGTACAGAAGCAGGGACATGGGCTTTGTGAAATGCTCTTTTTTTCTGCCTACAGTTCAATGGTTGGATAAAGAAATAAGTGTCAAAGTCTTGAAATGGGCAAACACCTTCAGAAGTGTGTCCTCAGCAAAGCAAAATCCCAGGCTGAGCCTGGCTGCAGAGACAGAGGAAGACATCTTTGGGAGCCAGTTTGTCTGCTGGGGCTGGCAGTCTGACAGCTGATCCTCCTTGCACTGACATAAGTTTGAGGGCAGATGCTTGAAAATGAAGTCCTTTTGTGATGTGTTTTTCACATTTTTAGGCAAGGCATGTGTAAATACATGTGAATGTGCAGCCTTGAATTCCTTGGGACTGTGCATGTGAATGTGCAGCCTTGAATTCCTTGGGACTGTGGTTTGGAGAAATCCAAAGGGGTTATAACATGCCACTTTGAATTTCTGAATACAAGAGATTTTTTAGGATTTCTATCTTTATTGTGTCTCAGTATTAGGAGCAGCTGGTTATGGGCAGAAATTTCCAATTAAACAAAAGATGGGGCTCTACTTCAGCCTCGCTGTGGCTTTTTTGTACGGCTCTGGCATGCCAGCATCTGAGAACCTTGCATGTGCCATAATAACTTAATTCCCTCTTGTTGTCAACACAGTTTCTCTGATTGAGTCCCTTAAAAAGTTATGAAAATCTAATCTGAGCTAAAATTAGCAGCATGAAGGTTCAGGGACCATTTTTCTCTAAGGCAGCCATTAGAGCTTGGACCTCAAGAGCTTTGCAGTGGTGTGAAACTTGTATCTGTCACAGGGAATTTATTCAGGGGCTAACACGCATGTTAATCCTTCTTCTGGATATTTTGCAAGACCTGTTGCTAGGGCTTCACCAGTTGCCGTTCAGGTCACAAAGTGAGGAAAGGAGAGCAGAGATGAACCTACACTGAACATGCTTTTACACCTTACATAAAGACTTTCACCATTCTGGTGAGGCAGAAAGTACATTATGTGGGCCAGGCATCTCTGGGGGACGTGTCTCACTTGTGCCTGTGTGTCACGGTCATTGTACCATCTTGTTCTTTCTTGAGCCTTCAGAGTTCAGCAAACTATTTCACCCCTCAAGAGACTGAAGCCTTGCATGCAGCAAGGAAGGAGTAAAAGAGACCAAAGCAACCCTGTGCCCCACAGTGCGGTGTGTAGTACCACACACTACTCCCTGTGTAGTAGTGGGAAGCAGACAAGCTGATCTACAGCCTGGTAGAGGCAGGACAAAAGGCCCATGGAGAGCTCTTCCTTCCTGGTAGATCCTGATGCTGAGAGCAGAGTGGATGGAAAGCTGAGGACCCTGCGGAGAAGCTGTTCCTGGTGTACCCTGCTCCCAGGAGCTGCAGCTGCCTCTCATTTTGCCCACTTACACATGTGCACGCTGGAGTATTTTATCCAAAAGCTGCCTTTCAGCACATTTTCAAAAGCTCTCCAGTTTCACTTTGAGGTAGGGTCAGTCCATCACCTCCCAGGTGAACTCTCTCAGTATCTAAATAGCCCAGCAGTTAGCGGCTCTTATTTCAAGGCTGGAGCTGTCTAAATCCAGCCTCCAGGCATCGGACTGTGC